CGAAAAATTCCTGGGGATTCCTTGACCCGTCCGGATTCGATCCCGGGTCCCCCAGAGCGGTAGGCTGCCACCTTGACCGCTCGGCCATCCGGCCTCAAAGTCGACAGGTTGCGCGCCACAAGTCGGCGTAAACAGACTAACATGGCAGAGTTGCGGATGAGTTTCAATGAGTGTGAGTTTGTTCACTATTAAAATAGTGTAAATTTGTAAACATATTTGCAAGAACTTTGTTTCATCACAATTTCTACGAAATTCCCGGACTGTCCGGGTGAAAACCGAACAGGTGGTAACACTAGGAACAAAGAATGAACTGCATGCATCAATGAATCAAAATTCACATATTGCTAACATCGATTCAGGATCGATGTTTCAAAAACATCGGAAGGTCGATGCATCGACGAACAAAAACATCGATGCATCGTACAGCACTAGTTCTCGCTGTCATTGACGTGTTCGAAAGATCGTCGAATACACGACAGCCGGAGTGGTAACAGTTGTTTGTACAGCGAACAAGTCGTCTACCGGGCGGTCGTGGCGATGACACTGTCAAAAACAGAAGTAGGTCGGTTTTCATCAGTGTTTTATGATCATTATCAATTAGTGTTATTACGCTAAGTCAAATTATAGTCGTCTATCGAACCAGCAACTGTTTGCAACTTCCAGGAAACCGTGTTCTGATTTAGAGAAAAATGCTGATTTTGAAAAGAAAACTCTGGCCACAACAAAATCGTAATTTACACATATATTTATTGGACACAAACCGCTAGAAAATTAATTTATATTTTACTTTCTCCGGCTGTTATGTACAGTAATACCTCGACTTACGCTACCCCGACTTACGCGCACAGTTACGCGATTTTCAAATTTCGTCGATTCGTCTTTTGTTTGAGCGCCAAGTAACTCTCGATTACTCAATCTCTCCACACTATTGTTCGGCTTACGTGTTCAGACGTGTCGCGGAATCGACACATAGCCACAATTTATTTTGTGTTATTTATTTCTGTGTTTGTTATATCTACGGAGACTTGAGAGACTCTATGTGGTGATTTCTTCTAACCGTGAACGAATCAAAAGACGAGATAAGATTAACGAGAACATTTATTAGCTTACATACATCCGATTTGGGTTTTATACAAATTGCGAAATTATACCCGACTTACGCGAATTCGACTTACGCGGTTATCGCTCGGTCCCACCTATCGAGTAAGTTCGGGGTATAACTGTATACATAACAAGGAAAAGTATTGAAATCGCATCAAATTTGATCCTCCGAGTTTTTTCCAAATCTCCACGTTTCGAGCCCGGCTGAATCCAAAAAAGTCAAAGAAAAGTCAAGAAATCCCGTGAATATGTGTGTGTGTGTGGCGATTATTTCGTTTAATATCTCAGGACAAGGTAAGATTAAGAAAGGAAATTTGCCACGGTAGCTTATGTATAAGGGGCATTGATGCTATTTTGTTGATAAAAGGTCGGAGGGTGTAGATGGTGGATGGTCATATCCATGGCCGGCCATCGGGGGGGTGCGGCGGATGCTGTGCACCGGGGCCCCGCGATTGAGGGGGCCCTAACATTGTCAAGAATGCACAAGAAAACTCGACAATATTCCTATCGTTGTCAGTATGACGAAAAGTACATTTTATCGTAAACATTATTATTGTAATCTCTGAATTTCGACAATCTTCAAACTAATTCTCGGTGATGCGAATGTTTAGTTTTTGTTATTTGATTCGGGAAACTCCCGAGGATCCCCACCTAAATTCGACTTTAAAATAAAAAAATCTCAATACCATATAGCCCGCGTTAAGAAATGAAAATA